TATATATAAAAAACATTACAGACATGATGATGTATGACATCAAGTGGAAATCTGACAGATAATTTAGATACAGTTGGTCTATTTTGATGTTTTTTGTCTTGATTTGCCCGTTTCTATAATCATCCTGATCAATTTTAGACAAATCCTATTGAAACTTGCAAATTACAGTACACTTTATTGTGTCATCACCATGTCCTTTCAATAACTGAAGTTTGCCAGAAAATCGAACATTACAAAAGACTTTTTATCTTAAATTTAGTATATTAATGAAACTTCAGCTTGCTGTTGATGAAATAAGATTGCTTTTGGTTCAGTTAGTTAGATTTCAAAATTCATCTTTTTGTCACACTTTCGGGACCAGCTTTTGAGACTTGCTCATATTTATCAGAAGGAGAAATGTTCCCCCTTTGGCATGAGGTCTGTGTGCTCAACAGGTTTCTAATAATAGGGCCTAAAATAAGTACAGCTAAACTCGCAGGCTAGACTCGCAGGCTAAACTCGCAGGCTAGACTCGCAGGCTAGCCATACTTAATAATGGTGGCTGAATTGTAAAATTTTAGCTTGCAATACCTAAAGTATTTGTATTTCAAACGAAAACAAAAGGTGCCTTACTGTACTGACATGCATGTATTTTAAACCTGAATAATTGATCAAGATCTAATTAGACCTGACCTGTGTACTCTACAGGTTTCAGTCTATAGGGCATATAACCTAGATCCAAGTACGGCTAGACTGTCAGGCAAGCCCTGCCACTTTGTTTGTCGATTCATTTTATACATGATTTGACATTTGAGTGCACAGATTACAGATCTCATTAGTAATTGTTCAGGTTTAAAATGCATGCACTGTCAGTAAGGCACCTTTTGGTTTCATCCCAATTACAAAAATACTTTTGGCATTGCAAACAAAAAATTTATACAATTCAGTAGGCCTATATTTTGCTGTTTGTCAGTCTAGCCATCATTATTAAATACGGCTGCTAGCCGTCATTAAGTGCGACTAACCTCTTCCATTGACAAATGTATCAGATCAAATAGGTCAAATGTTTCAAATGAATGATCAGCAGTGTATCACCTATCAAATGTAGAGCAACAAATGTATCAAATGAATGAACAACAATATATCACATATCAAATGAATCAGATTAACAAATGTTTCAAATGAATGAACAACAATGTATCACATATCAAATGAATCAGATTAACAAATGTTTCAAATGAATGATCAACAATGTATCACATGGAATGTATCAGATCAACAAATGTATCAAACATCAAATGAATCACATTGTTTCATGTCGAATTTTTCAAATTTGTGTATCAAATGGGCAATGTTTAGACTGGGTGTAAAATATATAAATAGGGGAGTGGACTTTTCTTGAACCGTATCTGTGATTATGGTTGTAAATTTTTACCAAATATGTGAGGCGTGCTGACAAAATGAGTTATTTCTGGCAATCCATAAATTTTAATGGAGATATTCTCCAACATTTGACTCTAAGGTCAAATTTGTAGATTTTCTGTCGATGCCACATACATTCTTTAACCTTATTATCCGTACGCCCTGGGGTCATTTTGTACCTCCGGGGTTGTATTCTTCACATTTTAGAACACTTCTTGTGCGAAGATCTCTCTGAAACTTTCAGTATTTCTCAAAAAATCATTTTGACAGACTACTGCAAAGCGTACAGGGATCAGATTAATTAGTAAATATATCCTCTTTTGAAAGCGGTGGAACAGAGTTCCCCACGTTGTATGGATACGGTAGTAAAACACGACGTACAGATATAGGGTTAAGTATAACATGCCTTTTATTATTTCATACACTTTTAAATTGTAAAAACTTCACCTATAACCATGATGTATCTACTTCCATATGGCTCAAATCCGAGAAGTAACTAATTTTGTCGGAACGCTTCACATATATATATATATTCCTGTTTTTTTGTGTTTTGTTTTATTGTAGCTGAACTCATGTCATTTTATCTTCACATCACCGTTGGAAAACTTTGGTAGGTTTAGCGTGCAGGAGATGTACGTCTGTTCTGAAAAACTAAATCATTTTCAGTGGTGGTTATTGTCTTTTAAACTGAATATTTCCAGTTCAGAAACACTCAAAGGTTGAGACAAGACTTGACAGACTGAAGAAATGGCGGGAAGAGAGAAAGAAAAAGCAAGAGGAAGAAAAGAAAGCCAAGGCCAAACCGGTGTTTCGCGTCGGCAAAATGGAGCACAAGGATCCCGGAGACTTGTTCAACTGGGGGACAGTTGCTGAGGTAATTTTTCTCGAGGTTTGAACCCTCTAGAACCCACAACCAGATGCAGTTTTTTGAAACTTAGGAAACTGAAAGACTAGTCAGAAAATGGTCAAAATTTTAAGAGAACAAAACATTAAATAAAAAAAAAATTAATGAGATGCAAATTGAGTGTATCAAATACGATACCTTGTTCACGATGAAAAATGTTCATATTCTCATATTATTTCTGTTTTATTGTAAATTTCAAGTACAAGTGACAGTTTCTATCCTTGTTAAAAGACAGATGCATTTTTCACTCCGTGCAAAGGAGAGTCTATCCTCAGGTACTTGATGGAAAACAGGCAGAGCGCCCCCCCCCCCCCGCCCCCTGCCCAATTTGTTTTGTTTTGTCCACTAGACATCTTCTCCACAGACTTAGTTGAGACTTGACTTTTTTTCTCAATGACTCAGAATGGAATGACTAGCGTCTATGGTGTAGCATTTAGGTGCTTTGCTGTCACATGCAGGAGTCTTGAGTTCGAATCCCCACAAGGGCGAATTTATATAGAATATCTCGGTCTTTCTGCTGGGATGTTGTTTCTCTCTCAGCCTAGGCTGGCCCTGACAGTTTAGGTCAGAAGCCTGGCTCCTAAATGATCTAAATTGTGTTGCTCAGAAGTCTTAGTTTTAGTAAGTTTTATGCCACTTGCGACACAAATAGGTCATGTAAGTGCTGGTTCAGAAGTCAGTGAATGTAGGAGTTATTGATTCAATTAACTGTAACTGATGACTCTTTGATTTCTTGAAAAATATTTCAGAAGCCTGTCAAGCAAAAAGCTCCTCGTGGCGGTCAGACTGAAAGTGCTCCGAAGCCTCAGGCCAGGACAAATACCCGCGCCGCCGCCGCCGCCAGCAAACTTGTCCAGAAAGAGCCAACGGTGGCGTCGTCCAAAGCAAAGGCTGCTGCGGTATCCGCTGGCACCACTGGCGGTACTTTGAAGAGATCTACATCAACGGTACTGCCATCGAGCCGGTCGCAGAGAGTGCAGACTGTCGCAACACAAGCGCAACCTCCCAAGGCCAGCACTGCTGCGGGAAAGAAAAATGTGCGGTCAGCTTCAAAGTCACAGGGTCAGATATTTGATTTTGCCAAACAGATCAAGCCGGATGTGCAGAAGAAGACGGAGATTATACCTTCAGCTGCCACGAAGAGCAAGAAGGAGACTTCTGGAGGGAAGCGAGCTGTCAGGACCAGGGATTTGTCCTCCCAGCTGACTGCAGCTGCTAAAGCAAAGGTTTGTTCATAACATAATAGGCTGGTCTCTCACAACTACAACATGACCGTTATCTGATTTTGCTTGTTACTCTAAGGTACCGAATAAGGCCCCCCCCCCCCTTAAAAATAAATTTTCAGGTTTTTTTTTGGCGTTATTTAAAAAGTTATTTTAAATTAAGAATTTATTTACATCAAATTTTTAGCATTTTATCATTTTAGTAGAGGTGTTGGCCAGAATCAGGCTGTGCAGAGAACTGTTGTGAATGGAACCAACTTTTTTCGTGCGCTCATATGACCTTATGCAGTTGCTGCGCCGTAAAACTCTTACCAAAACAATCTAAAACAAGCGACTGTCTTGTGATGTTTCCGCTGGGCTTTCTGAATGTGTGTCTCATCCATCGCCACTTTCTTAGTCCTATTTCTACTTCTATGTCCTTTTGTCCTGTCCTTTCTCACAGCTCTTCATTTCTTATTTTACCCTGCCTCTTAATTCTTAGGATACTCCTCATACATCTGTTGATGAAAGTCTGGACCTTATTCAGTACTGTCTTTGTTGTCTTCCAAGTTTCACAGCCGCAGAGGAGCACAAACTTGACGTTGAGTTAAAGAGTCGAATCTTGGTGCGCAGTGAGATGTTGCTTGCTTTCCAGACTGGTTCTAATACACACTTTTCATATATGCATTGTTATTTTCAGATGAATACGGAAAAGCACTCTGGATTTCTCCGGTCTAAGGGCCAAAGAATGACGAGAAGCTCAGCACAGAAGCAAGTGGAGAAACAAGTGGAGCCACCAAAAACTTTGGATGCGAAGAAAGGTTTGACTTTACTTTACTTTACTTTACTTTACTTTTCCGATCCAGCGGCCATATGGGTTCTAGCCCTTTGGTCTGTCGATATGGCAAAGAATTAAAGGTTTGACAAATGAGTGGGTTTTTTTTCTTTCTTCTTGGTTGGCAGGTGCTCTGGTGTGTGGTTTCCTCCTTCTTTCCTCCCAAACATCCATTGCCCTTATCTCTCTCCTCCTTTTCTCTGTATGTTCATCTCCAGTAACATTTTTCTAATCTTCGGCACTTCTATGACCTATTAGTGTTTCTAATGCTGTCTATCTTTACTAAAATTAAAAAAAACCCAACTTTCTGAAATATCTGGGTCTGTGGGTGGTTGACGGGTGCTCTGGTGTGGTTTGCTTCTTCTTTCCTATCAAACATCTATCGTCCTTATCTCTCCTCCTTCTTTTTTATGTTTGTTACTCTCTTGTAACACCTCTAATCTTCTGGCGCTCTTATGACCTTATGCAGTTGCGAGCGCTGTAAAACCTCTACTAAAACAAAATCTGGGTCTTTTACAGTTTCTGAATTGTCGCCACATCAACCACAAACTCAAACTTTTCTACTTCAGTCCTTTTTTTTGTTGTTTTAGTTTTCACCGGAGTAGATCTGCTGAGGGGGGGCTCTGGTGACCTAGAGGTTAAGGTGTTTATCTCTCATTCAATAGGTCCCGGGTTCGAATTCAGATAGCGACGGAAATTTTTCTTCTCCCAATTGTCTCCTTTCACTTCCTTTCCTGATCTCAAGCAATGTTCTGTTGTTTGCTTTCGTCTCCGCTTTCTGCCCCCCACCCCTTCACCTCCTTTGCCCCCTCATCTTGGCCCCTGACTCTACTTCTGCATCAGCAAGTCTGTAAATAGCAATACTAGAAAACAAGAGAATATAATATGTATTTTCCAACATGAAAGCGGACTTCTATACGCAGACCTTCAAAAACATATTAAATACCTTTTTTTACCAACTGGTTGGCAGCTATGCTACTCTGTAACTCCACACCATAACAAATCAAAGAGAGAAACAGCAAACTTCGAGCTACCTCGATTTAAAAAAACAACCCAACCCATCCTCAAACCACTAATGATGTAAGGCACACATTGACAAAATAATATCAGTATCATCCCTTCTCTTCTCTTACCCTTTTTTTAAACTCCCAGTGGAGCACAGGCCATCAACAACATTACTCCAGCGAAGCCTGTCCTGAGCATCCTTTTCTATCTGTTTCCATGATGTCCCCGCTTTTTCAATTTCCGCTTGTACCGCTCGCCTCCATGTCATCTTTGGTTTTCCCTTCTTACGCTTTCCTTGTGGGTTCCACGTTAAAGCCTGCCTGATGATGCTTGTCGGGGGTCTCCTCAGGGTGTGTCCAATCCATTTCCATTTCTTCACCTGAATATCTTCCTTTACTGGCCTTTGGCTTGTTCTCCCCCACAGTATCATCCCATTCAGTTATTATTTTACACAAAAGCATACACGAAAAAGTAAAGAAAAAAAAAGTACCAGTGCAGAAGATATCTCTATACAAAATCTTACTACCGAGGTGACCTGTGATAACTCCACCACCTTGCTTCACTACACCCGCCAACCCCCTCCATAAACAGAATCTTACTACCGAGGTGACCTGTGATAACTCCACCACCTTGCTTCACTACACCCGCCGACCCCCCTCCATAAACAGAATCTTACTACCGAGGTGACCTGTGATAACTCCACCACCTTGCTTCACTACACCGGCCGACCCCCCTCCATAAACAGAATCTTACTATCGAGGTGACCTGTGATAACTCCACCTTGCTTCACTACACCCGCCAACCCCCCTCTATAAACAGAATCTTACTACTGAGGTGACCTGTGATAACTCCACCTTGCTTCACTACACCCGCCAACCCCCCTCCATAAACAGAATCTTACTACCGAGGTGACCTGTGATAACTCCACCTTGCTTCACTACACCCGCCGACCCCCCTCCATAAACAGAATCTTACTACTGAGGTGACCTGTGATAACTCCACCTTGCTTCACTACACCTGCCAACCCCCCTCCATAAACAGAATCTTACTACTGAGGTGACCTGTGATAACTCCACCTTGCTTCACTACACCCGCCAACCCCCCTCCATAAACAGAATCTTACTACCGAGGTGACCTGTGATAACTCCACCTTGCTTCACTACACCCGCCAACCCCTCCATGAACAAAAGTTAAAAGTTTTCCTCAGAATCCTCTCTAAAAAAAAAAGAGTGGGGAAAAAGTAGAATTGTGCACGTTCATGATGGGATTTTTCGAATAATAATGAGAACGAAGCCCGCCTATGTCAGTTGGAGGGATCTGAAGTTGCAGATTTACTTTGAATGGCTTGAATTTATTGAACTCGGAAAACGTGTGTGGGAAGGGTTGGGGGGGGGGGGTTACTTTACCAATGCCCTCCGTCTTGACCAGTCATATAGGTAAAATCTGGGGGTTTTTTTTTTGGTTTTGGAAAGTTGGCAGCCGTGAATTGCTTTGTAGAATACAAAAAAAAACCCTAATATGATACCACAAAAAACCCTGATATGATATTGATATTGCACAGTATTATCTGAATATATTATTAGACCTTTCAGTAAATGCTGTCAGTTCTATTATAGTAAATGCTTTTGATTCCTTTCTTTTCTACTCTATGGTTTGCACAAACGTAGCAACTTACTAAGGAGCTTTTGAGCTGTTTAAACGCGGCTAGTTATTAATTTATTCTAACAATTTAACAAATTTATATAAGCAGTGGCAGAACTTCCAAGAGAAATGGACGAGCTCGCTGTTGATGATGAACAAAGACAGTCAAATCCCTTTGGTACGCAAAATCTCAGCTGTTTTTTTATCTCGACTGTCGTTTTTATCAACTGGTTTTACAGCTACTTGCTGTTGTCGTTGCTCTGTTCACAAAGGAAGCGAGTTGCCTCTAAAATAACCTAACAGTGTTGATAGGGGCGTTAAACCCATGCCCTTTTATTTTTTCAAAGGTAGCAAGTTGCCTCTTTGGACATCATGCGAATACGAAAGAAAATGAAAACACAGTTGTGGGTGCAGGGTGTCCCTTTTCAGGCCAACTTAAGAGGTTCCTTCACCCTTTGGTTTTCAATCTTAAGGGGTATTTAAACCCTTGTTTTAGAAACTTACAGGGTTGTTGGTTTTTTGTTTACATGTCTGACAAACTAATCGTCAAAAGTCAATTATCTCCCAATTTTTTGCATGTAGATCTAAACATTTAACTCACACGCACATTCACACAAACACACACCGAGTAACCATGACTATGATTGAATGCTAACGATTTCTAGGTAACTGTAAGGTTTCAATAATGTAACACCAAGAAATAAATGAGTAATGTTGACTAGAATCAGAGTCGTGTTCACTTGGAGGTGGGGAAGGGTGGTGGTGCTTGAGCCAATCAAAAATTGAATAATAAAGTTGACAACCTAAAAGGGGTCAATTCCGACTGTAATACACAAAGAAAATACATAAACTGATTCATTATTTTTCAGAGCCATCCCAGGGTTCACGGTCCAGTCTTTCCAGACTTTCGATAAAAAAAAAAAAAGGCCAATTCATGTTTACTAGTGTTAAAGAAGGATGGGGGCAGACCTACCACTGTGCGTAATGGGGAGCCCTGGGGTGGTTGTCGGGTGCTCTGGTGTGGTTGCTCCTTCTTTCCTATCGAACATTTACCACCCTGATCTTTCCTTTTTTTGCGTTTGTTACTTTTTAAAACTCCTCTAATCTTCAGCACTTATATGACCGTCTTGTGTTGCAAATGCCATAAAACTCTTACTAAAACAAACAGAAGTCACAGTTGAACCTGTTCTCACGGCCACTTGTATAATACCTGTGGGTGGTTGGCGGGTGCTCTGGTGTGGTTTGCTTCTTTTTTCCTGTCAAACGTCTGTATCTCCCCTCCTTCTATTTTGTGTTTGTTTCTCTCTTGTAACTCTCCTCTAATCTTCGGCGCTTATATATGACCTTGTGTTGCAAGTGGCGTTAAACACTTACTAACCGACATTGTGTCCTTGGGAAAGACACTTTACACGAATTTCCCATTTGGCTGTGTCCTTTCGGAGACGAACGTTAAACTAGGAGGCCCCGCCTCTTGAATAACCTAATAGTGTTGATAGGGGCGTTAAACCCATACCATTTATTTCAAACACTTACTGAAACTAAAACTACTAAAACTAAATCACCTGTACAAACGGCCACCTGTTTAAGACAATCGCCTGTACAAACGGCCACCTGTATAAGACAATCACCTGTACAAACGGCCACCTGTTTAAGACAATAATCTGTACAAACGGCCACCTGTATAAGACAATCACCTGTACAAACGGCCATTTTCCACTTTGCCCCTTTCATTTTTTCTGAATCATAATGACACTGTGTAAGATGTCTACTCCCCCAAGACAACCATTTTTCTCCTTGACCCCCCCCCCCCCCCCCCCCCCCCGGGTAGTGCCACTGACTGAATTTTCTTTAGTCTATTTTCAAAGCGGGGGACATTAACTTGTTCTTATACACAGTAGAATTGTAAATGGGCTGATTCATCAATGTCATGCTCATAACTGTGCCTGAACTGCAACAGGAAACTGCTGCTTTTTTTTTCCTAATCCTTACTATCGCCATTTTCCTCTACTTCTTTTGTATGTTTGTCACACCCTTGTGACCTGCTATTTCCGGGGTGCCTTGATAGTCGAAACAGACTTTGTGCTGTTGAAGCTAGAGAGGTGAGCAGAGTAAGTCTGATTCCCTGTAAGGACTTCTCTGTTGACATCCACCCCTTTGCGCTCATATGACCTTATGCAGTTGCGAGCGCCGTAAAACCTCTACTAAAACTAACTTTTCTCCTTGACAAAGGGTGGCCATCTTGGACAATTTGGCTGTACTATAATGGATATGAACAATGGTCAGTAAAAGCTTTTGCAGCTTTCCGCCTGTTGGGTGTTGGCAATTCATTCAAGCATACATATTTGTGTCTTTCGGTACCACTTTTTACTTTTTTGTTTGGCCGTTTATTCCTTCTGTCCTGCTAATGCTACTCTCAGTGTCTATGTGATAAGTCTCTTTATCCACGAAGTTTTGATCATTGCAGACGTACATAAATGGGATCAGTCTTGCTAGCTGTGTTAGTCGTGAAGTGAGACCGAGGCACTATATCATATGTTTTTCTACAAATTTTCTTTACAGGTTTTTGTCAGTACTTGTTCATTGTTTCGTTGATTTGAATTAATAGGGGGTGTTTTGTTTGCTTTTTGCTGTGACTTTTCCATCCACTGTTACTAAAACTCATATGGGTAGTTGGCAAATGCTCTACTTTGATTTGCTTCTTCTCTCCTGTTAAGTGTCTATTGTCCTTAGCTTTCCCCCTTCTTTTCTTTGTATGTCATTCTCTAATACACCTCTATTCTTCGGCACTTATACTATTTAATTCTATGCTGTAAAACTCTTATCAAATGTGAACTAAAACTAAAAATACAACCATTGTTTAGTACCCTTTAGAAAAAAATGGAACAGAAAAAGGACAAAATCATTTTTTTTATACTGCAGGCACTCTTAACTGATTTCATCGTTTTGAGCAAGGGCAAATAAAAGATGTTTTGTTTTTCCCAGAGCTTCATTTGTCGGATTCGGCGGTGGACAGTCCCAAACACTCGACTCCGGCCCGTGGGAAACTTCGCAAGAGTGTTTCTTCAAACTGCTCTCCAGTGCAAGCGCTAAATCTGGGCTCGGTCGGCTCCAAACGTCGTCGGAGTCAACGAAACGAGAAAATTAGGTTGTCTCGGCGGAAGAGTAAAAACGTGTCAGTCATGGGAGCAGATTCCGAGTTTGAGGCCGATGTTAACGACAATGCACCATCGTTCCACGACAGCATCGCCGCGATAGAGAGTGGCCTCGTTGCTGATAAACGGGAAAGCGACAATGTCAAAGATTGTCCAGCTTTAGACGGAGGTTCTCCTTCAGCTGAGGAAGGAAATGGTGAAGCAGAAGACGCGTTGCTCCGTGGGGAATCAGCAAACACTTCCTGCAAATTGAACGATACTCTGGGTGTCTTGGAAAAGTCCAATAAAGAAAACATGACATACGAGAGTCCGAAAGATTCTAGCAAATCCAAAATGGAACGCCGGTCTCGATACTCTGCCGTGAAAGAAGTCAAAGTTGCAAAGACACCGAGGAGGAAGAGCTCTCGTATTTTGGCCGCGGCAGCCACTGCTGATTCTGACATTGCAGACGGTATTTTGAACTCAGAAAGTCCCGGCAAGAAAAGCAATCAGCTGGACAATGGCGACCTAATGGAAGACGTGGAAGAAATGTACCAGGCCCAGAATGTGTCTGACTCGGACACTCAAGTGCCCCTGGAAGCGGACGAAGACGGCACACCCACGACTCAGCAGAGGGAGAGAATGAGCTCTGCCCTAGGGAAGAGGAAGAGCCTACGACTGGCTGGACTGGCGTCCTCTAGCTCGGAGATGGAGGAGAACGACGGGGGAGCCTTTGTCTGGGAGAAGAAGACTCCACGACGCAGCAGTCGCAGACAGAGTAAACGAGCTATGGGTTCTGCTGTGGCCCGAAGGAAAAGCCGGCGCTCAACAGTTGTCTCTGTTAGCAATGAAGGAACCACAGACATTGAAGGTTGGTGGATTTTATGTCGGTACATTCATGTTGAGTACAATGTTAAGTAAATGACTATGTATCCATTTATGCATTTTGCGAATTACGTTGTGTATATTATTTTATTATAAATGTATTTGTATGTGTTCATTTCGTAATGATGTGTAAGCCTGCGTGTGTGGTAAGCAAGTAGATGTGTGTGTGTTTGTGTGTGCTCGCACGTGTGTTTGACGTGCTTGTGTGTGCACGTGTGCTATTTCCGGGGTGCCTTGATAGTCGAAGCAGACTACTTTGTGCTGTTGAAGCTAGAAAGGTGAGCAGAGTAAGTCTGATTCCCTGTAAGGACTTCTCTGTTGACATCCCCCCCCGGTGGTTGGAGGGCGCCACTGGTTGGTCCTACTTCTTTACTTTCCTTCTCTGTTGTATCTCTCTGTCTGTCTTAACCCCCTGGGGCGGTGACACTGACTGAAGTGTCTTTAGGCCATTCCCAAAGGGGGGACATTTCTCGTTCAAGCATAGAAGAATTGTTAATGGGCTGACTCATGTCACGCTCCTAACTGTGCCTGATCTACAACAGGGAACTGCTGCTTTTTCTTTCCTGATCCTTACTATTGTCATTTTCCTCTACTTCTTTTGTATGTTTGTCATTCTCTTGTGACCTGCTATTTTGGGGTGCCTTGATAGTCGAAGCTGACTTTGTGCTGTTGAAGCTAGAGAGGTGAGCAGTCTAAGTCTGATTCCCTGTAAAGACTTCTCTGTTGACACCCACCCCTTGGCGCTCATATGACCTTATGCAGTTGCGAGCGCCGTAAAACCATCTACTATAAATTTTTAAAAAAATGTCTCACTTTTTCCCAGCACTAAATGACCAATATTGAGTTGATGTGCTTCTATTTACTCAAACCAAAAAAAAATCCTCCACTTGGTGCTCATATGACCGTATGCAGTTGCGAGTGCTGTAAAACCATCTACTGTAAAAAAAATATCCCCCACCCCCTAAAAAAAAAGAATGAAAATAGAAATACGTTCCTTCAAGCAATGTGTACAACAACCTGGGTGGTTGGCGGGTGCACTAGTGTGGTTTGCTTCTTCTTTCCTCTCAAACATCTATCGTCTTCGTCTCCTCTCATTTTTTGTGCTTGTTACTCTCTTGTAACACCTCTAATATATGACCTTATTGGGTTGCAAGTGCCGTAAAACTTCTTACTAAAACTAAACAGGTGACGACGTTGTTGAGAGCGTGGCGGTGTCCCGACCAGCTAGCACTCCGCCCAGCACCGACACACACCTGGCCACTCCGGCAAAAAGCGCGCCTCGTCAAAGCGTAGCCGCCCTCCGCAGGAGCGTTCGCCGGTCGCTGGTGGTCAGCGTCAGCGATGAAGGGACGTCTGTCGGAGGCGGGGACTCGTCTGCTCGCTCGGCCGACGCCTACCATGTTGCCAAATCTGGCCACCCTGAGGTGTCCTCTCGGATCTTGCAAGAACTTGTGGTGGAGAAAGTGGACGGGGAAATCAGTTTTATCGAGGTGAGGCAGATGCTGGTTATTTGTGCTGGTCTTATCAATTAACTTATCAATAAACTTATCAATAAACGTATTGATGAACTTATCAATTAACTTATCAATAAACGTATTGATGAACTTATCAATTAACTTATCAATAAACTTATCAATAAACGTATTGATGAACTTATCAATAAACTTATCAATAAACTTATCAATAAACTTATCAATGAACTTATCAATAAGCTTTTCAAAAACTTTTCCGTAAACTTTTCAATAAACGTTTCGATGAACTTATCAATAAACTTTTCAAAAACTTCTCAATAAACGTATCGATGAACTTATCAATAAACTTATCAATAAACTTTTCAAAAACTTATCCAGTAAACTTTTCAATAAACTTGGCAAAGGTGTTACTCTCTTGTAACACGTCTAGTCTTCAGCACTTATATGACCTTATTGTGTTGCAAGTGCCGTAAAACTCGTACTAAAACAATGCTCATTTCAGGTGCCCATGGATGACAGCATCGTAGGCTCACCGTCTGCAAAAGAGTCTCTGGCCAACTCTCTCAACGGCCTCAAAGACCAGTCCACACAGCCGTTCTCTCCCAGGAAATCGGCAGACGTGACGGCCTCCTCGTCCAGTCAAGAATCGAGCCTTTTCTCGTCGCCGCTGAGGGACAGGAAGTCCCCGGCCGCCGATCCACAGGGGGGAGATCGAGGGGTGATCAAGACTCCGAGGTCACTGGGGGTCAGGGGTCGGTCTTTGGCTCCGACACCAACGACCTTCAAGGAGCCCGGAGAACCTCTGTCTGCGCTCAGGGCCAGGAGCGCCAAGCGGCGGAAGACGGAGTGCTCGCAGACTCCGGAGCAGATGTAAGTGTTTGTGCATATCCTCTGCCAACTGTTTAGATGTAAGTGTTTGTGCATATCCTCAACCGGCAGTTCAGGTGTAAGTGTTTGTGCATATCCTCCGCCAGCTGTTTAAATGTAAGTTTTTGTGCATATCCTCTGCCTTAAATGTAAGGGTTTGTGCATATCCTTAGCCAGCTGTTTAGATGTGTTTGTGCATATCCTCAGCCAGTGGTTTAGATGTAAGTGTTTGTGCATATTCTCAACCAGCCGTTCAGATGTAACAGGCTTGTCGACTACCCCAGATTTGACAATCAGGAATTTGAGAAGACGTATACTCCCCCCCCCCCCCCCCCAAGGGCAGTGCTACTGACTTGAAGTGTCTTTAGGCCATTCCCAAAGGGGGGACATTAACATGTTCTTATGCACAGTAGAATTGTAGATGGGCTGATCAGATTCATCAATGTCATGCTCATACTCTTCCGGAACAACATAGGGGGAACTGCTGCTTTTTCTTTCCTAATCCTTACTGTCGTCATTTTCCTCTACTTGAGTGGTTGGTTTCGTTCCCTATGCAGTCTCTTCCTTGTGACATCATTGATGGTTTGTAGGCGTATGGTTTCGTTCCCTATGCAGTCTCTTCCTTGTGACATCATTGATGGTTTGTAGGCGTATGGTTTCGTTCCCTATGCAGTCTCTTCCTTGTGACATCATTGATGGTTTGTAGGCGTATGGTTTCTGTCCCTATGCAGTCTCTTCTGGTGACATCATTGATGGTTTGTAGGCGTATGGTTTCGTTCCCTATGCAGTCTCTTCTGGTGACATCATTGATGGTTTTTCTGTTTCAGGATTGAGATCCTCAAGAAGAGCCCCATGGTGGAGATGAGCCGACGACGATCGCGACACGTTTCCTCGCCCGGTGAGTGGACACAGGGACACACACACCCTACACTCCATCCTGTCCCCGACGTTTTATTCAAGAAAAATTATGAAATTATGCAAAACTGAACCCAAAAATGTGAAAATATGCAATTCTGTTAATTTTAACAAAGAATGATGAAGGAAAATAATCAGAAATTATGCAAAAATGATAAAATTTTGCTAAATTATGTGGGGTGCATAAAACCACGGGGACAGCAGGTCTAACTACTGGCCACTTTTTAAAAAGTTTTTTTTTTGTTTAGTTTTTTTTTGGTGGGTGGTTGGCGGCTGCTCTGGTGTGGTTTGCTCCATCTTTCCTATCAAACATCTGTTATCCTCCTTGTCTCTCCTCCTCCTTTTTTGTGTATGTTACTCTCTTGTAACACGGCTTTTATATGACTTTATTGTGTTGCAAGTGCCGTAAAAGTCGTTCTAAAACTTTTTTAAAAAATACATTTTTTTCCAATGTATGCTGCGTTTCTTTCCTCTAGTTTCAGTTTTAGCAAGAATTTTATGGCACTTGTAACACAGTGAGCTTTAATTGAAATTCAGACTGTTATCACCCGAGCTTTAATTCAAATAATTCCAACTGTTATCACCCGAGCTTTAATTCAATTAATTCCAACTGTTATCACCCGAGCCTTAATTCAAATAATTCAAACTGTTATCACCGGAGCTTTAATTCAAATAATTCCAACTGTTATCACCCGAGCTTTAATTCAAATAATTCCAACTGTTATCACTCGAGCTTTAATTCAAATAATTCCAACTGTTATCCACCGAGCTTTCATTCAGATTCCAACTGTTTTCACCCAAGCTTTCATTCAGATTCCAACTGTTATCACCCAAGCTTTCATTCAGATTCCAACCGTTATCACCCGAGCTTTCATTCAGATTCCAACCGTTATCACCCGAGCTTTCATTCAGATTCCAAATGTTATCACCAAAGCTTTCACCGAGCTTTCATTCAGATTCCAACTGTTATCACCCGAGCTTTCATTCAGATTCCAACTGTTCTGCCCCCAGCTGCTTCTCTGAGCAACTTCACGGCCCTGTTGGACGAGGCCTCCCACGCTGCCACTGACAAAGAGAAGGCCAACAAATCTGCTCCTGGCCTCCTGGAGGAAGACAACATGCAGGTGGAAAACCTCCCTCTGCCACAAGACGAAAACGAGCCGTGCACACAGGGCGAACCATGCACACAGGAAAAACCATTCACACAGGACGACGAACCATGCACAAAGGAGGAGGAACCATCAGTGGTAGCCGTTGATGAGGGTGATGCTCAAGGTGATTTTTTTCCCCCGCTTGTTCTTAGAGTATTTATTTTGGTTTTGACTAATATTAGTTCTGTTCAATACAAAGAAATATGAGTAGGTGGTTGGCGGGTGCTCTGGTGTGGTTTGTTCCAAACATTCGTCATCCTCATCGTGACTGATCAGATTAGCGTAAGACATCGCCGTATGTCAGTTTGGAAAGTGACGTCTGATGGATCATGTTTCCTGCGCCTTTCGTGGACTGAGTCTTGACCTGGTGCTGTATTGAAAAACAAAACAAAAACTATCCCAAATTTACTAGCCATGCATCATATCGCAACCTCAGTGCTTTCTTGTCGTTTTTCCATTTTTAATAACAGTGGAAACAGTTCATAACAAAGAGTGAGCTTAAGAAGAAGTCAACAGTTTCACTGATTTAAAAAAATGGAGATACAACAAGAAAGCACTGAGGTCGCGATATGTTGAGGTCAAATTTTATTGTCTGATATAGATTTCTTTTGTTTCGATGGTTTTGACAAGTTTGCCCTCAGCTGTTAGTGTGGTCAAATCCTCCAATTAAGGTGAATAATAATGATAATAATTATATAATAATGAATGTACAGAACTCTCCCGCCTGTCTGTGATGTTGAGGGTTTTCCACGGGTGCTGCAGGGCTGCCAACCATCCCAATTTTTTCGTAATCATTACGATTTTTTAGCCTCACTATGAATTCCGATCGTAAGGTGATTTATTACGAATTTTACAGACAGCAGACTTTTGGCTATAAAAAAAATATTTGTCGCTGTTTTTTTCTTTTTACAAGTCTTAGACTCAGTGCAGACCTGTAAAGCAAAACTTTGGCCTTCACTTTTATTTAACTTTCGATAAGCCCTCTTTTTCCAAATTAAGACCTGTTTTTGTTCCTTGTAATATAGTAATTTGAAAATGAGAGCACAATTACTAATTTTTATGGGAAATGACTAATTTTCTTCATGGTCATTACTAAAAACCGTGGAGATGGGTTGGCAGCCCTGGTGCTGTTTTTCCATTTTCTCCCGTTATGTCTGTTCTGTTCACTTACAGAAGATTTATCATTGTACGTATTTGTGAGGCAGCGTGGTGGAATCAGGCTCTCGTCAAAATAATCAAAGTGAAGAAACTTGCATTTTTCCGCAGGTTTGTGAATTTTTATCAGATTTTTGTTTTTGGGCTCAACACCTTTCATGCCCATAAAGAGCTCATTTCCATGTGGATTTTTCTTAAAAACGTTGATTAAAGGCACAAAAAAATGTATATTTTCAGTTACCACGGACTCTTAAGCTAAGGAAACAACTAATCTTTGGCATCCATTTTCTCACTTATTTTACCTCTGAAAACAGATGACCCCCACCTCCTTCATTCGCAAATATCTCAACTTGTATTCAAGATAAATTGATATTTTTTCATCCAAATAAAGACAAGTGAACACGCTTTAAGATGATACTAATAACTTGACATGCCCAAAAATTGACGAGAGCCTGATTCCACCACGCTGCCTCACATTTGTTTTCTGTTTCACCCCCAATTTAAAAGTTGTCGATTAGCTGTCTTTTTGTTGTCAAACGCAAGTTCGCAATTTCAGGTATTTTCACAAAATCCCACTAGCATCTTCTTTACTTCTAGTCTTGATCATCATTGTGCTTATCTGAATCATCATGTTCTTTCGTTTCCAGCGGCTAAAGTGAAACCTTTCCGAGATCTGCTCACGTCTGAGACTGCCCGACTGAACAGTCTGTGCCAGGAGTGGACGGAAGTCGGTGCAAATACCGCCGGCGTCGGGGACGATGGTAAGACCATTTTGTTCGAGGTTATTCCTTCGAACAGGTGCTGCGGTTTTCTGGTGTGTCAGGAGAATGTGTCACGGGCTTTAGCGACGTTGGTGGGGGGTTAGCGGGTGCTTTGGTGTTGTTTGCTCCTTCTTTGCTCTCAAATATCTATCATCCTGATCTATCCCCCTTCTTTTTTTGTGTTTGTTTCTCTCTTGTAACACCTCTAATTTTCAGCACTTGTATGACCTTATTGTGTTGCAAGTGCTGTAAAACTCTTACTAAAACTAAAACGTGGTCTTCCCCTTGATCTTTTACCCTGTAGGTTCCAATCTAACACTTTCCTTGTTATACAGCTGCTTGACTTCCTGAAAGTGTGTCCAAACCATCGCCGATGCCTTCTTCCTACCTCATCTCTGACTGGGATCTGTCTTGTTCTTCTTAATACTTCCTCGTTGGTGATCCCGTCTGTCTATCTGATCCTCAGTAACTTCCTCAGACACTTGTTCAAGAAAACCTGTATCCTCTTTATGCACGTCTGAGATGCGTTCCATGTCTCACAAATTGTCTCACACCCTTACAACAAGACTGACTTCACGTTTGAGTTGAAAATCCTCGGCTTTGATCGTAGTGAGATATCCCTGGTCTTCCAAATCCTGTTTAAAGAAATAAATGCAGTCTGTGCCTTTTCAATGCTGGACTTTATTATTTCAGCACCTGTTCCTCCCTCTCTGTCAATTATGCCGTTGAACCTTACTTGTGCTTGTGGATGGTTGGCGGATGCTCTGATGTGGTTTGCTCCTTCTTTCCTATCAAACATCTATCGTCCTTATCTCCCCTTCTTCTTTTTTATGTTTGTCACTCTCTTGTAACACCTCTAATCTTCTGGCGCTCATATGACCTTATGCAGTTGAGAGCGCCGTAAAACCTCTACTAAAAGTAAACTAAAAAACCTTACTTGTGAGTGGTTGGCGGGTGCTCTGGTGTGGTTTGCTCCTTCTTTCCAATGAAACATCTATTGTCCTTATCTCCCCTTCTTCTTTTTTATGTTTGTTACTCTCTTGTAACACCTCTAATCTTCTGGCGCTCATATGACCTTATGCAGTTGGGAGCGCCGTAAAACCTCTACTAAAAGTAAACTAAAAAACCTTACTTGTGAGTGGTTGGCGGGTGCTCTGGTGTGGTTTGCTCCTTCTTTCCAATGAAACATCTATTGTCCTTATCTCCCCTTCTTCTTTTTTATGTTTGTTACTCTCTTGTAACACCTCTAATCTTCTGGCGCTCATATGACCTTATGCAGTTGGAGCGCCGTAAAACCTCTACTCCCCCTCGGGGCAGTGCCATTGACTGTAGTGTCTTTTGGCTATTCCCAAAGGGGGGCATTTCTCGTTCAAGCACAGTAGAATTGTAATTGGGCTGATTCATCATGTCACGCTCATAACTGTGCCTGAACTACAACAGGGAACTGCTGCCTTTTCTTTCCAAATCCTTACTAGCGTCATTTTTCCTCTACTTCTTTTGTATGTTTGTCACTCTCTTGTGAACTGCTATTTCCGGGGTGCCTTGATAGTCGAAGCAGACCTTGTGCTAGACTTCTCTGTTGACACCCACCCCTTGGCGCTCATATGACCTTATGCAGTTGCGAGCGCCGTAAAACCCTCTACTAAAAAACCAAAACCCCCCCAAAACAAACCTGTACTAAAACTAAAGTAGAACCTTACTTAAACTACAACTAAAACGCTGTTTGTGTCCCCTCAGTTCTGGGCCAGCTGCGGTCGGTGGTGGGCAAGGCTCAGCTCCTGATAGACCAAAGGTTCAAGCAGTTCTCCGGGCTCGTCGACAACTGTCAGTTCAACCTCGGGGAGAAGGAGACAACTCCGACCGACTTGCAAGGATTCTGGGAAATGATTTACTTCCAGGTAACTCACCACTAACTGCGCCGTGTCTGTCTATTCTGTTGTAATCCTCGATGCACACTGACAATCAGATTCAGGTGAACTGAGACGGGGCCAGCCAGCCAGATTTCCCTCCACGGAGGGGACAAAAGCTTCCATTGTGGCACAATTGGAGCAAACCCTCCAAAAGATTATCTCAAGCTTTTAACATAAAAAAAAAAAATCTGATCGTTGACCTGAACCTCGGTGTGAAATGAACTGATGTGAATGCAACCAACTTATGTTGCGTGGGCTCATATGACCTTATGCGGTTGCGAGCGCCGTAAAACACCTACTGAAACAACACAACCCCCCCACCAAAATCCAACATTGTCGTTTTAGGGGGGATTTGAATAGTGGTGGGCGCTAATCCATACCAGTCCTCAGTACTTATTCAGAACAGCTTCCTTAGTAAATAATTAGATATTTTCGTCACTAAGTCGATAGTGATCGATACTCAAGTTTTGGCATGCAGGTTTTTTTTTTTCTCCCTAAAAAGCATTAAGAATGCCGTTGACTGAAACACTATTGTCTGTGATATATAAAGACATGCAACCGGTTTCTATGGTGGAAGTTGTGTGTGTGGGGGGGGGGGGGGGGGTCCAAGAGTCCATGAATGCAGTCGATCCTACAAAATTCAGAAGCAACTTTTGGGGTTCAGCTAGCCTAAATTAAATTTTTTTTTTTTTAATGAAGCCCCCAAAAGCAAACTAAAACCAAAACCAAAAACACCAAAAGTTTAATTAACCCCCCCAACAGCAATAGACACAGCTCAGGCTAATGCATGTAGGCCTACTACTGCTTTTTGTGGGGGGGAAAAAGGATTGTCATTATTACAGTGATACATTTTTGGCACGTCCCTTCTTAAATCTTAGTTATAGTAAGTACTGAGTACTTATGGATATTACTGGGCTCTCTTAGTCGATGTAGTACTCGATATTGACGGCCAGTGTTGACTAGAGCCCGCCCCTAGATTTGACCAAGTTGTGCAAAATTGGCAGCTTTTGCCATTCTATGGAGAACTATCCTGGGCGGCCCCGACTCTGTTTCACATCATGTATCAGCAAACGTGCGGTGTGCCTTGGGCGGCCCCGACTCTGTTTCACATCATGTATCAGCAAACGTGCGGTGTGCCTTGGGCGGCCCCGACTCTGTTTCACATCATGTATCAGCAAACGTGCTGTGTGCCTTGGGCGGCCCCGACTCTGTTTCACATCATGTATCAGCAAACGTGCGGTGTGCCTTGGGCGGCCCCGACTCTGTTTCACATCATGTATCAGCAAACGTGCGGTGTGCCTTGGGCGGCCCCGACTCTGTTTCACATCATGTATCAGCAAACGTGCGGTGTGCCTTGGGCGGCCCCGACTCTGTTTCACATCATGTATCAGCAAACGTGCGGTGTGCCTTGGGCGGCCCCGACTCTGTTTCACATCATGTATCAGCAAACGTCCGGTGTGCCTTGGGCGTGCGCCGTCAAAGATTGTTCTTAACAAGATTGCTCACTCAGCCAAAAAAGTGTCTGCGGAAGTCCGCGCCTTGGTTCAGATGGTGCTGCAGTCTTTGTTTTGAAGCTCTCTTTTCATTTCTCAAGAAGAAGAATAGGAATAGCACAGTTTGTTAGTTTTGCTTCTATTGTTTTTCACACAAGTAGGGTAACTCTGTGTGTTAGTAAAGTCCGCACTTTTTCTAAGAGGGCGCCACCGGATTTTGAGGACACTTTTTTAATTCACTCAAAGAGCTGAGGAGTGAACTATCTTGTTGTGTACGATCTTTGATGCTGTGAGCTAAAGAGGCCTGTGCCTGTTTGAAGGTTTGCTTTCATTGCTTCTGAGTTGTCGTGTAAGCTTTGTTACAAGCGTGTTTGTGGGTGGTTGATGGATGGATGCTCTGGTGTGGTCAGCTATGTCTACTTCTACTGCCAGGACTGTGGTGTTTCTTTTATTTCTGTATACATGATGTACGTGTATTTTAGCCCGTGTGCTTCAAGCTGTGGATCTGTCCCTACAGTCGTGTTTCTTTCTTTAATTTGTCGCTTTTAAGCACAAGGGGGCTATTCCCGAAAAATACTGGTTTGAGAAAATTGAAGTTTAAGTTTTTAGATCCCTCTTCAGTTTCTTTAAAAGACAAGGAGAGTTTTCTCTATAACCAAACAAATAAATACACACCACTGAAACCAAACTTCTCCTATAGGTAGGGCAATGCCCACTTTTGGTGTAGGTCAAGGTTTCTGGAAACCCCCGAAATCTGGGTTAGCCCGCTTGTCCTTAAAAGCGACCAATTGTACATGCACATGTACTGGTGTGTTTAGTTGTTGCCTGTGTCTGTGCTTAAAGCCGTGGAGCCTTAATGGTCAGCGGGTGCTCTGGTGAGGTCTGCTCCTTCTGTCCTATGAAACTTCGTTTGTCCTTATTTCTCCTCCGTGGGTGGTTGGCGGGTGCTCTGGTGTGGTTTGCTCCTTCTGTCCTATCAAACATCTATCGTCCTTATCTCCCCTTCTTTTTTATGTTTGTTACTCTCTTGTAACACCTTTAATCTTTTGGCACTCATATGACCTTATGCAGCTGCGAGCGCCGTAAAACCTCTACTAAAAAAAAAAAAATACATGTGTGGCTTTGTGGATGTTTTGACAAGTCAAATGTCTGTCCCATGTGTGGCTTTGTTGATGTTTTGATAAAAAATGTCTGTCTCATGTGTGGCTTTGTTGATGTTTTGATAAATGTCTGTCTCATGTGTGGCTTTGTGGATGTTTTGACAAATGTCTGTCCTATACATGTGTGGCTTTGTGGATGTTTTGACAAATGTCTTGTCTCATATATGTGTGGCTTTGTGGATGTTTTGACAAATGTATGTCCCATGTGTGGCTTTGTGGATGTTTTGACAAATGTATGTCCCATGTGTGGCTTTGTGAATGTTTTGACAAATGTCTGTCCCATACATGTGTGGCTTTGTGGATGTTTTGACAAATCTCCCCCCCCCCCCCCCCAACCCATGTTGCTTTGCCAGGTGGAGGATGTAAACAATTTATTTGCTGAACTTTCTGAGCTGAAGCAAAATGGCTGGCAGTCCAAAGCGCCGACCCCCGTCAAAAAGGCTCTTGTGAAGGTAAACACGCAAATTTTTTTTTTGTATTCCGGCTTGGACACTTGAAATGCTTGGGTTTTTGTTTTTAGTCTCAACTCATATGTTCTTGATAATGCTGTTACTCTTGTATGTGTGTGGAGGTTGGTATGTGTCAGTTTCAAGTAATCTCAAACGTTATTAACCCTATTTGTACCCCCTGGGATCATCTTGTATCCCCGGTGTTGTATTCTTCACATTTTAGAATACATCTAGTACGAATATCTCTTTGAAACTTTCAGTATTTCTCAAAAATCATTTTGACAGACTGCTATGCAAAGCGTACGGATTGGATTAACGAGTTAATTTCCTCTTTGGAAAGTGGTGGCACAGAGTTTCCCACGTCGTACGGATACGATAGTAAAACACGACGTACGGATAGGGTTAAGTGGTGGCACAGACTTCCCCACGTCGTATGGATACGATAGTAAAACACGACGTACGGATAGGGTTAAGTGGTGGCACAGAGTTCCCCATGTCGTATGGATACGATGGTAAAACACAACGTACGGATAGGGTTAAGTGGTGGCACAGAGTTCCCCACGTCGTATGGATACGATAGTAAAACATGATGTAGGGACTGGGTTTATGAGTCCTCTGTGAACTTCATGCCCCATGTCTGTTAGGATGCAGTTGCTTTATCCAAATTAAAAAACGTGGCATCCCTTTACTTTGAGCTCATATGACCTGATGCAGTTGCGAGCGCCGTAAAACCTCTACTAAAAAGAAAAAGACTTTACTTTGAGTTGTATAGATAAGTTTACTTGATTAAATATGTACTTTCGTCTAACAAGAGAAGTTTCAGAAACTTGACGTTTTATTTTGTTAGGGCTGAAGCCGTAGGTGCTGAAATTCACCAGTCCCAGTGTGACAAAAAATCCCTGCCTAGCCCCTTTGGGAATGGCCTAAAGACAACTTCAGTCTGTAGCACTGCCCTTGTGTGTGTGTGTGTGGGGGGGGGGGGGGGTACTCTGGTTGCAGATTGTAGTTTTTTTTAAAATGATTGATGATTGATCATAAACTACCCTCTCAAACTTTCCCTCACCCCCCGAAGTGGTGCAACTGACTGTAGTGTCTTTAGGCCATTCCCAAAGGGGGGACAGGCTAGAGAGGCGAGCAGAGTAAGTCTGATTCCCTGTAAGGACTTCCCTGTTGACATCCATTCCTTGGCGCTCATATGACCTTAAAACCTCAACTAAAACTAAACTAAAAACTTTCCCTGGTGGATCAATAAAATGTATTTTGGGTGGTTGGCGGGTGCTCTGATGTGGTTTACTCCTTCTTTCTTATCAAACAGCTATCATCTTAATGTCTCCTTATTTATGTTTGTTAGTCTCTTGTAACACGGCTAATCTTCGGCACTGATATGACCTTATTGTGTTGCAATTGCTGTAAAACTCTGACTAAAACAAAAAACAACAACTAAAGTGTATAATTTTCTCAATGATCTCCCACTACTCATCTGCAGAGAAAGCCGTTGGCCAAGGGGGCCAAGGCCAAGGGGAAGTCCAACTTCGCGGCGTTCCGGGCGGAGATGATGAAGAGGAAGGCCCAGGGGGCGTCGGCTAAGCCAGCCGAAACGGTCGGCGAGGACACAGAAGCCACCAAGACGTTCGACGGAGGCTTTTTTGCCGTGTCCAGTCCCGTCCAGTCACCTAGCAGCAGTACGTCGGGGGTCCTCTTTTAAAATTAAAAGATAATTTTAGACACTTTTTTGTATTTTGTATGATCTAGTCTTAGTAAGTGGGTGGTGGGCGGGTGCGTGCTCTGGTGTGGTTTGCTTTTTCTTTCCTATCAAACAACTCTCGTCTTTATCTCCCCTTCTCCTTTTTTGTGTTTGTTATTCTTTTTGAAACACCTCTAATCTTCGGCACTTATGATAACCTTATTGTGTTGCAAGTGCCGTAAAACGCTTACTAAATCTAAAGCTTTCGTGTGCACGTGTTCATCTATGTCTCTCCTTTACTCAGTAGTAATAACATTTACATATATATATATATAATTTTATCTCATATCCTGGCTCTATAGCACGTTCTATGACGTATTTCATAACTATTATTAACCAAGTTGACCCTAGAACACTCAGAAACATTCTCAGCTTCCCGGGAAGCATACAGTGCTGGTAGCCGATTAAGCACTCAAACACTAACATACTGTCAAGATTTTTCACTGTCTGTAGCCGGGTACCCATTCCCACTGGCTGAAGTGTGGAAGACTAGGGTAAAACACCTTTCCCAAGGACACATCGTTGGGCCCCTGGTGGGGTTTAAACTCCCGAACTTCCGGTAACATGAATGACAGTCGAACCACTAGACCATTGAGGCCGGTACTGATGTATATTTCATGTGTCGAACCACTAGACCATTGAGGCCGGTACTGATGTATATTTCATGTGTCGAACCACTAGACCATTGAGGCCGGTGCTGATGTATATTTCATGTGTCGAACCACTAGACTATTGAGGCCGGTACTGATGTATATTTCATGTCTGTTCTTGTCCTCAGAGTCTGCTGAGGGACCCCTGAAGCCGGCCTCGCCAACCAAGACCTCTGAAAATCAAGATTGTGAGAAAACGGAACAGTCTCCGCAGAAAGACGCGTCTACTCCCACCAACCCAAGGAACAAGGAGAACGAGGCGAGCACTCCGCCCACCAGCCAGCCGACGGTCATGTCTGTGAAGAGACTCCGCTACACGCCCGCGGTCAGCAGTCCCCTTCTCAACGACATCACAGATGTGGGAGAGACCAAGTCGTGATCTGTGTGTGTGTGTGTATCTCGCCGGAGCTAAACTACTCTTGTCCAAAGTTTTGCCTCATCATGCATGCCTGTTATATATAAATACACGTTGATAGAATACTGTCTAGCACACACGTGGCGCAACACGCACATAGCGAACAAATTTTCTGTTTCTGAATTATTTCGTATACGTGTATATTCTCTGTATTTAGAACATATTATGTGTCACGACCTGGCGGAATCAGGCGCTCGTCAATTTTGGGGCATTTGGGGTTATTGGTATCATCTTAAAGCTTGTTCATTTGCCTTGCTTTCGATGAGAAAAATATCAATTTGAATAGACGACGAGATAGTTGCAATTGAAGGAGATGGGGTCGCCTGGTTTCAGAAGTAAAATTGGTTCTGGGAAAATGGCTGCCAAAGTTTGGTGACTTCCATAGCTCAAAGAGTCCTTGGAAACTGGAAATTTGCTTTTTTTTTGTGTCTTTAATCAAGGTTTTCCCCATAAAATCCTCACATAATCAAAGTGTTTCTGAATGGACGTACAAGGGTGTTGAGCCATAAAACAAAAATTTGGGGAAAAAACCCCTCCAAACTGGCGGGAAAATGCCTGTTCCTCCGATCTCTGTATTTTGACGAGCGCCTGCGGTTCCTCCACGATGCCTCACGTATACATAACTGGCAGAATTCCATAGATCCTCTGATTGTGCTGTCTGTGTGTGTGTGCTAGACTATGTACAGATTCTGTGTCAACTCCATTGCTCTGTCCTCGACTGTGTCAACTCCATTGCTCTGTCCTCGACTGTGTCAACTCCATTGCTCTGTCCTCGACTGTGTCAACTCCGTTGCTCTGTCCTCGAGAGGTTTTATGAGCTGTGCGAGCACAAAACAAAGAGTTGTGAACGTTTCTTGAAGGACGCTCTCTCCTTCTTTGCTCCTCCATGGGGGGAATGGAGCTCGTAGTTGGGAGATTTTTATAGCATGTCCTTGACCCACATTTCTGCCGGGATCTGACAGGGAATTGTGGAGAAAATTCTAAGTAGAGCCAAATTGTACTTCACTTGCTCATTGAGAAGGAGAAAGTTTGAGTGGGAAGAAGCGGGCATCTGATTTAGAATTGAGAAATCACATTTACAGACCTGCCACTCATCCCGATTTTTTTCACCTGATCCTGATTTTTTTACTCTAAAATCCTGATTTTTAGATTTCATAGAGTGGCAGGTCTGCATTGAACATAAACTCTTATTATATTTGATTTGCAAAAACTGAAATGCATATGCCATTTGAGTAAAAAGATAGGTAGGAAGGGTTGATGGTTCAGGTCATGAGACTGAATGGACACTGTGGAGGTAACTAGCAGTGGAGTACAACTAGATGATATCTCTGTGTGTAAACATTCTTTTCTGGACCTGAGTGAGTGGTTGGCGGGTGCTCTGGTGTGGTTCGCTCCTTCTTTCCTAGCAAACATCTATTGTCCTGATCTCTCCTCCTTCTTTTTTGTGTTTGTTACTCTCTTGTAACACCTCTATTCTTCGGCACTTATATTATGACCTTATTGTGTTGCAAGCGCCGAAAAACTCTTACTAAAACTGGAAAAAACCTAATCGTGGACCTGTTGCCGAGGAAGTGACATGGACAAGATTAAGCTCTCAGGGTGTTGTAGAATGTGAGGTGGGATTTTCCCCCTCCAAGTGTCGACTACCGATGAAGTAGGTCGTAAGTTTCCTTCTCTGGTGTCAGGGCCAATTTAATCGGCCAAAATCTTAATGGCTAATTTGTGGTTTGTTATCCCCTTTTGTATATATATATATATTGCCAACCATCTCGACTTTAAAGAAAAATGAGCTCTATTTCCTGTACATTTTACTTTTTGAAAATGTGTAGGTTAATGACCTTTACCCGCTTGGTTTGCAAGTTCTCAAGTATTTTCTCCTGAAATGATAGAATGTCCCATGACACTACAGGCGAGTCTTGGAGATTTAAGAAACGTTTTTAGTTTGACAACGGGGACCTTTTTTGATCTGGGCACGCACGCTGCTGGTCATTTTCACTGTACAGCGACAGATTTTATTTTTGTACCTTTCCATGTTGACGTCGTATCCTTGAGGTCTGTTGGTGTGTCAATCATGTCTTTGTGTTCTGTGGAGTTGCTGCTTGTGAGCGCTTGGCGTGTCTAATTGTGAGGTGTGCTGACAAAATGAGTAACTTCACGCGTTGTAGCCATATATATATATATATATGGTAATTGAGATGAGAAGTCAAGTTTGAAGGTTGAGTTTGTACGTTTTCTACGTGTGAAATGATAGGAGACATAATGGGAGTAACCATACAAAGGCATCAACAAAATCTACAAATTGAGCCCGGTGTCAATTATTGGCCGACGTTTCCGCTCACGGATTGCGAGAGAGAGTGGGTGGTTGGCGGGTGCTCTGGTGTGGTTTACTTCTTCTTTCCTATCAAACATCTATCGTCCTTGTCTCTCTTCCTTTTTCGCATTTGTTACTCTCTTGTAACAGCTCTAATCTTCGGCACTTATATGACGTTCTTGTGTTGCAAGTGCCGTAAAACACTTACTAAAACTCAAAAAAAAAAAAAAAGGCTTGCGAGATGCAGCTCATTTTGTCAGCATGTCTCACAACTGGTCTGAGTATTGAAACCACATGAAGAGTTTCTTCAAGAAATGAGTGATTACCTTGACTGACGGCATCAAGTTAGTGTCCACTTTTTTTATTTACTACCTTCATCGCTCTCTACCATTTTTAGCATGAATTTTTATTAAAGTTATAGGGGTTTGGAGGGCGCCACTGGTAGGTCCTATTTCTTTTCTTTCTCTCTCTTCTTTCTGTTTGTCTTGCTTTTTCCGTGCACAATATAACAGTTATTGTGTCGATGTGCTTCTCTTTAAGTAAATATTAACCCCCCCCCACCTACTTCCTAACAGTGCCTGACTGCAAACATTTCAGTGATTTTTTTTTTTTTTTAAATTGTAACATGTTTACCAGAATCTGTACTATCATATCATGATAGGTTCTAAAGTGTGTTCATTGTCATTCCTGCAAGTTTTTTTGTTGTTTCTTTTTATGGCAAATTTTCGTCACTTTGACTTTGACATATTTTTGTATGCAGCTCCAGCAGTATTTTGGGCCTTTTGATTTCTTTTCCTGACTGGCCCTGAGTGAATGACGGAGAAATCCGTGTCTCAGGGATGCCACTTTTCCCCGGTATTTCGATCCTGATCCGCCATTGAGATCGAGATAGATTCTGCCATGTTAAGAACATCTAATCTATTTTTCTTTAAAGGTTTGTCATTTTTTTCTATGTACACCCATTGGTTATGTTTATTTGTCATTTCATGTATAACCTTTGGGTTTCAAATTGATATTCATATATGTTAGCGAGACCGTGGTGCGTGGATTTTCAGCTATCTTAAATTTTTTAAAAATTGAGTGGCATCCCTAGTGTCTTCACAGACAGGTTTTTTTTACCTCAAATATCATCTCCATTTTTCATCATTGTTGTTGGTTGGCGAGTGCTCTGGTGTGGTTTGCTTATTCTTTCCTATCAAACATCTATCGTCTTTATCTCCCCTTCTTCTTTTTTATGTTTGTTACTCTCTTGTAACACCTCTAATCTTCTGGCACTCATATGACCTTACTTATGCAGTTGCGAGCGCCGTAAAACCTCTACTAAAACTAAAAATTATTCATCATTGTTTTGCCGCTACGTCCAAATACAAAGATTTCCAGAAGCAGCAAACTTTTATTTCGGACAGAACATTATGTTAATTATAAAATACAAAACGTTTAATTTGTCCAAATCCTCTACAACAGTCCTAACCCTTTGAGCCCTGCCCTCCTGAGGCTACCGTTGCCCTTTGCCTGAGCTCTTGAGCGATTCACGCCTATATTACTACTCTCACGTTTATGTCATCGTCTGAATCACATTCCATATATCCCACTCAGGGTAGTCCTCATCATTACCAGCATCTAATTCAGAAACATCTTCAAAATAGTCCGTAACATCCTGTGTAGTAAACAGTGTTTTCAGTACGCATTTTGTCCAAGGCAGGCTGAGATGGGGATAGGGTCTTGTTCACGGGTGTGGTGTACTGGTGGCTAGGCATACGGGCAGTTTTACGCACCTCTGGTGTACAGGTGGCTAGGCATACGGGCAGGTTTACGCACCTCTAGTGTACAGGTGGCTAGGCATACGGGCAGGTTTACGCACCTCTGGTGTACAGGTGGCTAGGGCTGAAAGGGTGAAGAAGTGAAATGAGATTAACTAGGACCTGCAAATGGGCCTCATCAAACTCTACAATGTAGGCTGTAATGTATTTGGCTTTCCATTTTTTTAGTTTGAGAAATTTTGACATACCCGTACGACAATTTTTAATGACTGTGACTACGTATACATGTGTGTGTATATATATATA